CTGGACCTGAGGCTGGCCAGTCCGTGAACCCCCTCCCCGGAAGTGAAAACTGGCTTTATTAGAGACCTCTCCTTCTCTGTCTCTCCCTCTGGATCCCGCACCGCACCCCCTTTCCTGGTGCATGCCCCTTCCTCCACTGCCACTTCTGTGTTCTCCACCCAACTTTGCCTTGGATTGAAACCGACCCCGTGCACCCGTGTCCTGCCCAGACTGAGCCTCCGGCCGCCAGGCCTGTGAATGCACGTCCTCTGTGTGTGTGCATGTCCCCTGTGTGTGCACACCTGTACAGACAGCTCTGTGTGTGCATATCCCCTGTGTGTGCACATGTGTACAGCTCTGTGTGGACATCCCCTGTGTGTGTGCGTGCATGTACTACTCTGTGTATGCAAGTGCAGGTCTCTGTGTGAACGCCGTCTTCGCATGTGCACGTGTGCACACATGTGTCTGTAGATGGTCCCTTGGCGTGGGCACATGTATACAGGTCTGTGTGTGGATGCCCCCTGGGCGTGTGCACATGTACACGCATGACCTTTCTGTGCTCTGGGAACAGTGACGGGTTGAGTCACGGCATATCTGTGCAGTGTTCTGCCTCCTGCCGGTGGAGAACAACCTTTCCCACTAGGAACTGGACCTCAGAGCTTTGCCCAGGCGTGCTATTCCTGACCTTCATTCTTACCAATGGCTTAAGACATGATTTATTGAATGTGTCAGATCAGTGACAGGCAACTTACATAAGTCAGTAATTACTGTTTGTAGTCATGTAATATACAAGTTTCTTTCATTTTACTTTTTGTGCCAGAACTGGGGTTTGAACTCAGGACCTTATGCTTTTCCTTAGCTTTTTCCACCAAAGACTGGTGCTCTACCACTTGAGCCAAACCTCCAGGCTGGCATTTTGCTGATTATTATTGTGTGTGTGTGTGTGCACATGCATGTGCATACATGTGTACACACACACCAGTACTACGACTTGACCTCAGGACCTGGATGTTGCCCTTTTATTTTGCTCTAGGCTGGTGTTCTATCACTTACCCAAGTCACACTTCCACTTCTGATGTTTTGGTGGCGAATTGGAGATAAGAGTTGCTCTGATTTGTCTGCTTGGGTTGGCTTTGAACTGCAGTTGTCAGATCTCAGCCTCCTAAGTAGGTAGGCCTACAGATGTGAGCCTCTGGCACCCAGCTAATATAACATTTTAAATAGGTACTACTTAATTTTTTCCCCTTAAAATAAATTTAATTGCTAGTTTGATTCTTTTTCTTCCCTTTTATTACTCCATAGGTTGAGCCTATTTTATGTAGAGCAAAGGGAAAATTTGATGTGACTGAACACTTTGTGATGCTCATGCTTTATTTACTTCATGACAGAATTACAGAACCTGTTTGGTTTTCTGCAAGGCCCACAAGAGTGTGTCCACTCCGTGGGCAGTCGCCAGGCCTTTGCTGTGTTTATGTCAAGAATTGGTTATGAAATCCTTGTGATACCCCTTTACCTGGAACAGTCACTACCTACTTCAGAATTAAAACTCACAAAGTTCTTTCACCAAAGGTAGAAAGATGCCACATTATATGTTAATAATATTTTTTGAATTTGTAATTGAACTTCGTTATCTGTGTTATATTGAATCGGATCTCAAATCTCATTCACTGACTGGAGCAATTGGTATAATTAACTTGACTTCACTTAGTTGGAAAGTTTGGGGGCAGGACCTCATGGAAGCACTTTTGTGTGTCATTGAAACCTGAGAAGTGGAACCTCCTCCAGTGGTTCAGGTCAGTAATCCTACTCAGGGGGCTGAGGTCCAGAGGATTCTGATTCAAAGCCTGCCTGGGCAGCAAAGTCTGCGAGACTCCAACTCCAAAATAACTACCAAGAAGCAGGTAGCAAGCAAGCCAAGAGAATGCACGGCTCCAAGTGTAACATTCAGTAACGCTCCCACCCCAAAGGATAAAGAACAAGAAAAGAAGTGAGACCTTGACTGCTATGCACTCAAGACTTTTCGGCCTGTGTGTTTGCTGGGAGTCCAGGGAGTTTTTGTTGTTTTCTTTTTGATTATTGATGAACTAACACAAGAAGGATACTAGCTCTACCAGTGTCTTCATTTTCTCCTAACAGCCTAGCCTTGAGCTAGCTATAGGAAGACTTCGTTAAGTACCATAACACAGGCCTTGGTCACCTTTCTTTGAGTAACAGCAGCTACCATTTTGCTGGCTTTATTTCTGTTTCCATTACTATAGCCTGACCTACATATGCAGGTATGCAAGTATGAAAGAAATACCTTCACCAAGTAACATCTTCCTCCCATCCTCCTTCCGTATCCCGATATTTATCGTGTGCTGTTTCCTGTTCTATTTCACGTAAAGCCTACTATTAGTTTACTAGTTTTACTATCTTCTCTGAATTGACCTCATTAGTTTCCCTGCTCAGCTTCCCACTTACAATTTATTTGCTGACTCTCTTTCCTTTTTGGGTGTATTACTACTGCAACTGAAATATCCTGAGCTGATTTAATAATATCTCTAGGGAAACTTTTTCCTAATAATTTTTTTCCTATTACTATTTTATAACATTGTGTGTGTGTTTGTGTATGTGTGTGTGTGTGTGTGTGTGTGTGCACATATGCTGGTCCTGAGACTGGAACTCAAGACTTGGGTACTCTCTCTGAACATTTTCATTCAAGGCTAGTGCTCTACCACTTGAGCCAAAACTCTACCTCCTAGCTCTTTGTTGGCTAGTTAGAGATAAGTGTCTCATGGACTTTTCTGCGCCAGCTGGCTTCCAACCTCAATCCTCAGATCTTAGCCTGGGATTACAGGCAGGAGCACTCCACAGCACCTTTGTTTTTAGGTAGCTACTGGCTCTGTATTGTTTTGTATTTTTACCATATGCTTGTTTTCTTGGTTTTCATGTTGTGATTGTCAGAGGTCATATATTATTTTCCAGAGTGAATATTAAGTATTTATATAATGAGTGAGCTATTCTTTTTTATTTTATTTTATTTTCTTGTCCGGTCGTGGGGCCTGAACTCTGGGCCTGGGCACTGTCCCTCAGCTCTTCAGCTCAAGGCTAACACTCTACCACTTGAGCCACAGCGCCACTTCCGGCTTTTTTCTTTTTGCTTATGTGGTGCTGAGGAATCGAAC